TATCTCACCGCAATAGCTAGTTGTTCTTTTGTAGACACATCACGAGATTCATCTACTAGAATGGTGAAGTATGAATCACCAATATCATTCATGATTACAACCAAAGTCTCAGCAGCAATCGAAGCACAAATCTCTCTTTGGACTTTTGGTGCAATCAATTTTAACTTTGCATTTGCATTTTCAAATGTAACTTTTCTAACTTCTTCATTATGATTTGCAAGAAACTGAAATAGTTCTACATAATTCCCTTGATTATTGGAACTAGAAGATTCATCATGTCCACGAAATGATAGGCCTTGGCGAATAAGAAATCGAACACAATCAACAGCTGCAGTTAATATAGTGCGATATTCTTTTTTTTGTTTTTCTTCTTTGCTCGACCATAAAGCGGGAATACTATGCTCTTGAAGCTTCATTAAAGCCTCACATTTATGTCTTGCCTTGTTGTGTGTACTGTTGTGATCTCCAACATGACTCAAAAGCTTCTCTTTTCTCTTCCAATTCTTAAATCCCTCACCAGCAAATACGTCTCCACCGCCTTGGGAAGTACTAGCTTTATCTTGAGGCTTAAACAAGTAGCAATAAAGACAAAATACAGCATCTTTTTGTACACTATATTCTATCCAATTAGGATATTCTTCAAACCATTTTGAGTTAAATCTACGAGCAATATTTCCTATCAATGTTTGAGGAAAATGATGATTTTTTGGTTGATGCGGCCCCTTCAACAAATATGCTCTACGAACTTTATCACGGTCATTCACATCATAACTCCAGATTGATGGTCGAAGACCAGGGTCGGCAGGAAGATTGTTAATATCAATCTCTACACATTCTTTTCGTTTCAAGAATCTTTCCATTTGACTAAAGCCTAAAAGAAAATTCAAAAAATAAATTAACAAGCATGATACTTCTGAAATGATGTTTTCATCAATTCAGATCAACGCAATTTCAACAATATTTTTTGAATCCTATATCAATTAACATTCTAATCTCACACTTAGCTAAATTTCATACAGAAAAAAAATACTACAAAAGAATTTATCTCAAATCTTCTATTTCTGTTGACATCGTCTTCGATTAACAGCCATAAAAATTGCTAAAATACTAAACATCAAACGCACAATCAAAGCAAGAAGATGGCACCGATAATCAGTTTACAGAACCAAGTTATTATTTTATAACTTGCAACACCAAAAATCACAAAAAAAATTTCATAACTATAAGAAGAAAAACAAAAAAAAGATGCAGATGAGGAAAACAAGAGATGCAGTTGTGCAGATTAAGTAAAAAATTCAAAATTAAATCCTTCCACAACTACAAGAACTATCAATCTATCATAATTTTTTCAATATGCAGAAAATGAGAAAATTAGAAAAGAGAAACAAAATCAATATGCAGATAAGGAAAACAAGAGAAGCATCAAGCAAGAAATAGAGCAACTGAGCAAGAAGTAACTAGTTTTTTTTATTTTTACCTTCAATAATGTCAGAAAGGGGCTGAGAACCGGGCAAACCAGAAGCAGTGTGGTTTCCGATGGGAAACAGTGAGATTCGCCAAGACAAAAGCTACCGTGCGAACTGGCTGTGGCAGCGAACTAGCGAAGCCGAAGGCAACACTTGCGATTGCGAACGATTCTCGAACCTGCGACTGCGAACGAGAGGAGATTTGCTGCGAATGAGAAGAGTTGGAGTCTCTCGAAGAGTGAAGACCTCCTGCCGTCCTGCGAGGCTGCGAAGTGCAAACAGGCTGAAATGTGCGAGATGGGCAAAGCGTCAGAGGATAGTATATTTTAGGGCAAATTGTTGTTTTGAGGAGGGGCAAAAACCCGAAA